CCGTGTTATTGCTATCGAAAAAGGTTTGGAAATTTTGAGTTGTTCCTTGTTTTCTTCATAGGAGGAGTTTATTGTTGTGAGCCTGAAAACTCTTCTGGTATGGCGACATGAGATCAGTTGAAAAAGTCGTCAAAGAATAAGGGGTATTGTTGTGGCTTTGTGCTGGGCTCAAGAGTGGCAAGAAACCTTACCGTCTACATGACTTGAAATTTCGATTTTGAAGTCAGTCACTAAGTGATAATGAAGTTTGTTATGCATATTTGTGCTGGAACATTGAGTTAGTGTAGTGCTACAAGTAACGCGATTGCAATTTATTAGGTTGGTCCATAAGTCTTGCAACAAACTGGCTAAATTTTGATTTTAATATTTTTATTATCTTTTTGTTCCATTCATCCAGCATGCTACACACCATCAATATCTACAACCTATTGCCAACGCACTAGAAGCTGTTCGATGCCTCTCTTGTAGAACTCTACTGAATTCTGATCGAAGAAAGATCAGATGTCGATTTTGACATCATGATGGTTAGGATGAGCTTTCTTCTCTAGGAGTGGTCTGGAGAGAGAAGCAGGTGAGCATTTTTGGTCAGCGCTATAAGGTGGACACAAGCGCGTCATAGAAAAGCGATTTTTTTTCCTGATTCTCTTTCAAATTAAAAGCGTTGCAAACTAGCTGTGGACGGTTGACTTCTGCTTCCTTTACCGCCTCCTTTGGCGACTGTGATGGATGATCAGTCGAAGAATCCATAGTAAGTCGACTTGAACATGACGATGTGTTTGGAGCTGATTCGGGCTCAAGGCATGTGGGATCCAAACTCTATATTTTCGGATCTTCACAAGTCTTTGGAGATGCCACAGTGCTGTCTCCTTGTCGCATCGGAATCGCTCTAGCAAATGATCGATACTCTATCCAGATCCCTTTTCAACAGCGTCAGGTAGAGCATCGTGATTGCCAGTCACGGGTGGTTGGAGTGTGGATCATCTTCAAATAAAAAAGTCAACGCTGAGCAGAGTGAAGCGCCGTGCACCGTGAATTGAGAGAGCGTGCCCTCGCCCATCTTCTGGCTAATCCTTGGTGTAGCATGACTTGCGGAACATTCCAAGCAGTACTCGTAAAAATTAAGGGCACGAAGAGCTTTTCGCGAAATCGGTGTAATATCCATAACAAGTAGCGAGACAACGAGCTGGACGGTTGGCTGAAATTGCAAAGGTGGATGCTACGTCAACAAACATGTTGCGGATTTTCGGAGTTCTCACAAAAATTCTCTAGCATTAAATGTAATTTGTTGCAAGACTTATGGACCAACCTGTCATTCATCTTTTCATTGGCTTAGTGGGAAAAGTTTTTTGTTGCAGTGATGGGTGCTATAAATCCAGAAGGGAGGACAGAGTGTATTATTCGCTGCTTCACTAAGAAAAGTGGAATCGCGGCAGTATCCGGGGCAGGGTCAAGCAAGGCGTCGAGAAAGTTTTTGAAATACGACCACCTCCCACCACAGAAACCGTTCAACAAGTAGAAAAAGTTGAAGAAAAATCGCTAACAATGAATTCCACCGAAATTGAGCAGGGAGCGACGTACTAATGAAAAATAACATGCCTTGACAGCATCTATTTCTCCTTTGATTCTTTCGAAAGCATTGTCTTAGTACTGCAGAAAATGTGCTTTCCAGTATACGCCCACCGTTTGGTGCTAGAAGCCTTGCAAACACCTTGGCCAGCTGTGTGTTGATTGATCTTTGGCGTTGACCGTGGAGCAGCTTATTACTATTGAAATTTGAACAAATATTCAAATGATTATAACTTTCTTCAAATATGACGAATTTTCAATCTGAAAGCAGATTTGGAAGTTTTGTGAAGAGCTCTTCTTAACCAGTATTGAAATTAGGACAGTTTATTCTAAATGTCCGATGTAGATTGACTAAGGAAGAATGGGGAAAATCCTTGATGATGAAGTTTTTGCAATTTCCAAAGCCATAATTTCTTTAGAATTCGACAAATCTGGAAAGTATATGTATCGTGTCAAGCTAGAAGACTGCTCTATTCAACAGTTGTTGACATGAATTGATTCGTTCAGTATTTCAAAATTGGCTACGTTGAGGATTTTTGCCTGAGTGCGCCAAGCTTTTCTATTGCGCTGCATTGGCAACATTTTAACAGCTACTGCCAGCTCCTTTCAAAGATTTTGATTTTGTATAAAAATGAATGCACATTCGGGACCAGCAAGCACTTTCTTTCGGAAAACTGGGAAAGTGTTTAGTCAACTCCAACTTTCAGGATCATAAGTTTATAAATTTGACGCTGTAAGCTGTATGGCTTCTTGACTCGCAGATTCATCCGTGTCATTTTGAACGGCTTTACCAGAACCTGCATCGGGAGGAAGAATCGCGATTCAGGTTCTGGTAGGGGCTCCCGATGCAGGGAAAACCAAGGGACTTGTACTTGCTAAAGCGCGCGCAACTGAGTGGACCCACTCTGGGACTGCAGTGTGCTTAACACGTTGACGTACTGCTTCAACTTTTTTCGTATTCTCTTATCAGAAGGCATTAACACGTTGACGACAACGCGCGTTTTGGGTTTTTGCGCCGCGTGGGACCACGGCGATTTTGCAGGCGCCGCCGCCTCACATCAAATCCGTGAATTTTGAGCTTTAAATACGCAAAACTCGGATGCAACAAAATGTTTCGAATGATATTCGATGTGTCAAACTTATCAGAAGGGACAACTGTAAAAGTTCGATCGAATTGACGTTTTCTGGCAATGAAAAGGCAAGTTTCAGTTGCTTTTGCTGTAGTGAACCTCAAAATTATTTTTGACGCGGTTGCTCCACTAAAAACATATGTCTTGCTATATGTGTGGGTCTGTACTTACTTCTACTACTCTTTTTTATGACCAAGGTTGTCAGAATATAAAGAAAACTAGGAATGAACACAATTGGGAAATTCGTAGGGCTTGGAAAACCTTCGCTAAAAAGGAGCATATTCAACCATTCGATGAACCTCGCCGTGTCTAGTCATATTATGGTGTGGTCTATAGAATAGATGCAAAAAATTAGAAAAGAAGTAGCGCATGCGCGAAAAAAATAATAATTTGTGTGCGCTGCACACGGTCCCACACGGTGCTCAAGGTGTGATGCGCATGCGCTGCACAATGTCGTCAACGTGTTAATCCTTCAGCGTTTTCACAGAAAGTAGAAAATTGTTCTTCGGGTACAGTTGTGTATGGACCTTTGTGGAACGGGAGAGAACGCCAAATAAATAAAGGAAAGCAAATGTTATTCATGTGAAAGTATGGTATGGCAATATACTACACGCTCGTCAACGTGTTAAGTTCCGTTCATAATCGGGACTCATTTGAAAGATAAAATATCCGTCAAGAAACGCGCAAATTCTGTATTTTCTTTTTACCTTTTCGCAAAAGATCATTGAGGTCGCTTAGAATTACTAGCTTGAGCAAAAATTATCCGCCGTTTTCATTTCACTCATAAGTTTATTAACAAAACCAAACAAAAACAACAATAAATGCGTAATCAACAAACGCTCTCGAACAGTCTTCTCTGCAACCGTGCCTTCATCCCAGGCTTCATTGATTCTACGAAATGCAGAAGCATTCGGTTTCGAATCCAACTCGCAGTCATGTAGCAGAGCAAGCTTTGCACGCGGGTAAGATCCAGTGTGAAGCAAGTACAAAAGTTTGTACGTCTGCGCGCTTTCATACTACATCATAATCTTCAAAAATAATCAGCAAAAGATCAAAGAGTCATGAGCCTGGAAAAAGCGGCGGATAGTTTTTAACCAACCACATATTACGCGCACCCCATGAAAGCACGAAAACTAATATTGTTATTGGAAAACCTCTGGCCAAGCTTGCACAGTGTCCATTACTTCTTGATGTTTGTTCTCCGACGGTGATGATCCTAATGCATCGATCCGACCCCACCCCTTCCTCCCAGTCAGGGTCAACCCTACGTTGGCAAAGAACAACGAGGGGGTCGCATGCCGAACGAAGGGGGGAGGGTCGCACACGGAGGGACGGGGCTGCAAGAGGGCGAACTTCATAAAATGAGAAGCGGTAAAGACCATTAGAATCTACGCGAAGAGTACTTTATTACTAGCGTTAACTTTTCATGGAATTCTTTCTTCTGCTTCAATTTCATAAGGGGTCTTTGAAATTCAATTCAGCAAAGTTACTGGATTCAGGCCTGGTCATGGACGTAGATGCAGTATCACTTTACAATATTCCAGAATTAGTAGAAGACATTACGATAAAACGTTCAACATGATCTTCTTCCGTGGAGCAAGATGGCTACAAATGCTTCCAAGAAATATAGTCGAAGCCCCTACTTCCAGAATATTTCGCTGCAGATTGCGCATAATAGATCTATTTCAGTGTTGAGAATTCCTAATGTGTATTAAGCTCCGTCCTTTTTAAGTAGCAGCTCATTGTGATGACTGTTGCTGTAATATTATGATACTATGATGTAGAATCCAATCCATGTTTTAGAAACAACTATGACTGCTCTTGAAATTCAATTTACGAACACTCCACTTTTTCATGGATTTGGAATTAATCTACGACGATGCTAAGTATAGTCTATTACAATTACTATGAGCTGAATGAATTAATTGTCTTCGTAAGCACCCCCGTGCCTACACCTGAGGTCCGTAATTAGGTCAAAGAGGTGCCACAGCACCAGCCCTTGTGTAGCGGTCTCGGCGTGGTTATCTTCAGGGCTAATTAATTCATACGCTCATGGCGTATTATTACGAATGTTTTTTCTCGTCACACTTGATCAGCATTTTTCAAAATTTTCCTTAAACAAAGCAT